TTGTCCAAACACTAGCCATGCTTTCCCAGATGCTCTGAGCTTTCTCACTCTTCCTTTGAAGTTATTCCCTGAAACACACACACACACACACACACACACACACACACACACACACACACACACACACACACACACTTTGCTATGTGACTGCTTACAAACAACATTTTTTTTTCTCTTCCTTTTCTCCATCTTCCTTCTTTGGGAAACTGCCAAAATATATAGCTTTCTTGACCTGTTGTTTTTTCTCCTCAAACTCTAATAAAATTGTTGCCAAGCTTCCTTTTGAGTCCATTTTGAGATTCTTCTATTAATGATACTAAGAACTCATGAAAGGGGATCCCAGTTTCCCTAGTAGCACATGACATTCTGTGTGGGGAATTCCCAAGGTTTTCAGTAACAATTTGATTAGTATTTCATATGTTTTAAAAATATTTATTTTAAATTACAAGTATGTGTGTGGTGGTGGTGTGTGTGTGTGTGAGTGGGGTATGTGCATATTAGTTAGTACAGATGCCTGAAGATGCCACAGGCATCTGATGCTCTGAAACTAGAATTATAGGTAGTTGTGAGCTGCCCAACATGGGTGCTGGAAACAGAAGTTTGGTCCTCTGCAAGATTGGTCCATATGCTTTACCACGAGGCCATCCCTCCAGCCCCAGCGTTTCCTATTTGTAAGTAACCAGCTTGGTAAAGGATGTGTGACTCTAGCTGAGCATTGCATGTTTATGATGTGTTCAGGTCTTGCTTTTAGCCTCCTAATAAAACTTTACAGTTTTCTCCTTGCAGACCTATGTATGACTTAACTGAAGTATTAGAAAAACATTTTATGATTTGCCGATTATATTTGAAATTAATTATTGTTTGAGTAAAGGCAAGCCATGGTTAACTTTGATAATTTTTGTACTTTTCCCTCTGGATTTTCTTCGATGTTTGAGAATAATGTCATGCAAGCCACAAACAATGACAATTCTGTTTCTCAGCTTCTAGTTCTGATAACTAAACACTGATTCTTGTAACTTCATGGGTTAAGTTGAAGGTGTAATACTGACTGGTGTAGTGGCAGCCATTTCTGCCGTGTTTTTATTTTTGATGGAAAAGCTTCCAATACTCCACCAGCCCTTACGTCTTTTGTGCCAGGTTTCTGGCAGACATATGTTAACAAGTCAAGCAAATTTCTAATCTTATTCTGCTAGGTTTTATTTTTCATCAGCACTGCATGCCTGTCTACTCTTACTAAATGTTTTGGAGAGACCTAATAGGCTTTCTGTATCTCGATAATAGGTTTCTCTGCTGATGCAGTAAGCCAGATCAAGTAGAATTGAAAAAGTAAAAGAACAGGTTTATTTGAGCAAAGCACATCCTGGGTGAGTTCTCCAGTCCGAGAGATCAAGGCAGGAGAAGTCACACGCTGGAACTAAAGCAGGGAGCTTATACAGCCTGTAGACGAGGGGGTGATGATGTGTCTACTACAAGTTGGGTTTATGCCCAAGTATGGTCAAAAGCTGAGCACTATAGGCAGGGGACTTGGGCTGCTGGCAACTTCAGGGGGGAGCTGCCGCAGGTGCCAAGATTATGGGACTACTTTTTGATGCATTTTCTTTCTTGGAGATTCTCTGAGAGGGTGGGGTTTAGAGAGAGAGGAATGGGGCTTTCCAGATCAAACAGGAGTTGAGCAGGAGGTTCCAGCCAAACAAGACCATAGGAGTTTTACTCATTAATTTAACAGAATAAATGATACTGATGGATTTTCTAATGTTCAACAATTCTTGACCTCTATGATGCAGTGTACATGGCTGTGACTTTTGTTTTCTTGTGTACGTGGGGATGTAGAGGGGAAGGAGCTGATATTAATGTATGTGTGTGTGTGTGTAGTGTGTGCACGCATGTGTACATGCAGAGGCCAGAGGAGGATGTCACTCTCTGGCTTATTCCCTTGAGGCAGGGTCCCTCATTGAACCTGGAGCTATGCTGGTGGCAGAAATTCCCAGGGGACCCTCCTGTCTCTGTGCCCCACAGTGCTGGGTTACAGGCACATATGGCCACGAACAGTCCCTAACATGGATTCTGGGGATTTAAACTCAGCTCCTCATGCTCCGGCAGCAAGCACTCTTACCTTCTGAGTTATCTCTGGACCCCCAAGGCTTGCTCTCAGTTCATCATTGTGTTGGTTTATTAGTCATTTATTTAGAATATATTTTCATAAATGGAATAAGTGTATGCCTTTTTGGCCTTGTGCTTGCAATATCCTGGGTCAGTTTAGGCCCCAAGACAGAGGGTAAGTTAGAAGGATTCCTGCTCTGCCTTTATCCTGAACAAATTCTCTGAGGTGGACCAAACGAGACCATTGCTGATGGCATCAGCCTGAGAAACTGCTGGGGCCTTCGATCTGCTCTTCAACATACATTTAACTTAAATTTAGGTTTGAACCAACTTTCTCTAGTTATTTTACTTTTTGAGTCCATTTTGGTAGTTTGTCCTTTTTTCTTAGAAAAAGAAATGGTGTCTCGTGTGAATTTTAAACTTAAAGGAAGTAACACTGAACTTAGTATACTTTGTCCCCTTATGTTAAAAGTCTGTCACCTGTAACTATAGTTTCTATTAATTTTTTTTGTATCAAAAATAAATTTTGGCTTCTCTTGTTTTGTTCAGTTTTACCACCATAAATATTTATTTACTTGATTTTATTTATTTATTTATTTATTTATTTATTTATTTATTTTTAAGCCAATCTTTTCAAAGACCCCAGTCCTGACTGGTAAGGTCTCTACTCTGGTATAAGAGACATCACTGGTTATCCTATCTGAAAGCTTCCCCTCTTGCCCACACTGCATTCTCTTTCTATTATGCATGTTTTGAAGTGCTTGCCAGCAACTGACACAATGCATTTTTAATTGTTTAGTTGTTCATTGATTCTTTACCCTCGAATAAATGCATGCTGTGTGATTGAAGGGGCTTCGATAGAGGAATCAATATCATTTATTCTGCTAAATTAGGGGATACATGAGTAGAGGAACTATTGAGTTGCCAGCTGCATTCTAGAACCCAGCTAGAACATGAAAGACAAATATCTACACATCTGTCGAAGTCGTTGATTGATGTGAATGTTCTTTTGTCTTCCCTATCCATTTTATGCTCCAGGTGTTATTTCGGCTTGTGGAGTTCAGCATCCCATCCTCACTGTTCCTTCCCCACAGTATCCTTGCTCTCACCAAAGAGTCCCGGGAGCTTCTTTGTGGTTGAATCTGAAATGTCTCTCAAAGGCCCATATGCCAAAGCTGAGGGTCAACAGTCTATGATGCTGTTCAGAGATGGTCCAGCCTGTAGGAGATGGAGCTTAATGGGAGGGCTCAGGTTATTGGGTGTGTCCTTGCCTCAGACTTCTTCCCTTTACTTGCTCAACTTAGTTTCCTTGGTACTGAGATCCAGTTTCAGGACTTTAAATATCATTTTCTCTGCTGGTGGTTTCCAAATTCTGAATCCCTATCTTTGGCTTATTTCTAGAGCTTCAAGCAGAGAGACACAGCTGTTTATTTGCTATTTGTCTGTGGATGCCTGATGATTAGAACGGGACTCCTGAGATCTGGCTGCAAATTTGTGTTACTTCCAGTTACCCACAACTTGTGAATGGTGGTTTTGTGCTTCTCATTTTGCCAACATCTTCAACTCACTCCTGACTCCTCTCTTTCTCTCCTATCTCTCACCAGCAAATTCTATTGGTTTAACTGTCAAAACACATCACTTCTCACCACCTTCGTTACTGTCACCCTGGACCGACTCATCACCACGTCTATATGTTCCTACAGTGACCTCTTAACTGGTCTCTTTGCCTCTGGCATCCTCAATACAGCTATCAAAGTGGTCCTGTTAAATTAAATGTCGGTTTATACCACTTCTTCGCTAAAACCATCAATGGTTTTCTTTTACTTTCATGGCAAAACTAAACCCTTATGAAGGAGTCTATAGAAATGCTGTAGTCTCCAGCCTCTAGTTCTGGGCCAACTCATCTGGCCTGTGGTCTTTCTTGTCTGTTCTACCTTCTCCATGCTGGTTATACCGACCTCATCATTGGTCCTTGCACAAATCTGGCATATCCTGCCACACTAGATCTTCCCTGGGTCTAGAATACGCCTTCTTCAGGCGTCCATATGACTTGCCCATTACACACTCCAATTCCCTGGCCAGACATTACGGCCTTCGGAAAGCCCCTTCTTACTGTACTGTCTGAAATGCCTCCATCTCTTCAGTTTCCTTCAGCATTTACTTTTTCTCTGTATGGCTTGTCGCCATTAACCTAATGTAGCTCTTACTTGTTTGCTTATTTACTTAAAGTGGCTTTTGTTTGGTTTTAGATTGGTTTTGTTTGTTTTGCTGTGTCAGAAAGGCTGGTCTTGAGTTTATGGACTCAAGTGAACCTCCAATCTAAGCCTCCTGACTGATCAGTCTAAAGGCTTGTTCCACCAAAATGGGCATAAACTTTTTACTGATATGCTAATTGTATGTATTGATGGGTTACTGTGTGATAACTCAAAATATGTATATGTAATGTATAATGATCAAACCAGGGTAATTACTACTTGGGTTACCTTAAATATATCATTGCTCTATATTGATAGCCTCAAGCCCCTCCCCTCTGGTTCTTTATAAAATACATATCAAATGGTTGTGTAGTCTCCCTTCTGTGTAGAACATTAGAATTCATCCCCCTCTATAACTGTATTTTGGTGGCTTTTGTCCAGCCTTCTCTGTCCCAGCTTCTCTCCTCTCCTTAACCTCTAGTGACCACTGCTCTTTCTTCCTAACTTAGTTCATCCCTGTTCTCCTCTTTTGAATATAAGCTCCACAAGAACAGGGAGTTTTATCTTTTTTTTTTCTACCTTTCTACTGCCAGGGCCCACAAGACTGTTGACACACAGTAGGTTGTCAGCAGAGAGCTGCCGGATAAATAACGGAAGTAGATTCCAAAGAGTTGCTAGGAAGGCACTGAGGCCGTTGAAGTGAGACCTACTGGAAACAGTTCCCTGTAAACACGGGACCCCGTCCACATACTTAAGATGGCAGGGTGAAGCATGGGGATGAACCCGGGTCCAGTGGCTAGGCCACACCAGCTCTGCACTGCTCTCCTCTGGGCTCCGTGTCACCACAGAGAAGGTCGGTCTCATCTGTTGGTGTCTGTTGTGTGCATCAGAAGGACCCTGGGTGACGGCTGTTAGTGACAGCCGAAGGCCAAGCATCATGTGACCTCTGAACAGAAAAGAGAAGAGAGCTTTCTATAGGTCTGTGAGGAATCTCAGTAATTCCAACACAGTGAGTGGCAGCTGATCCCTGAAGGATGCTAAGAAGGAGTGAGAAGGAAGGAAGTGCAGAAGCCAGTGGAACCATGGAGCTGAAAGTGCCACAAGAAGGGAACTGTCCGACTCCGATGTTAATGAGACACTCGGGGCGGGCGGCAAGGAGAGGAGCCATTGACCCAGGAGGAAGCAAAGTGACGGTCTCTTTGATAACTCCTGTTTCTCTGAGGTAACACCATGACCATGTGTGGTAATTCTGGGTGTCGCCTTGCTGGGTAGGTGCTGCTGTGAAGGTAGGCTGTGGATCTGATTAGCATTAATAATCGACTGTTTCAAGTAAAGCCGATTGGCTTTAAATGGCTGGCCTCACCCGACTGGTTGGAAGCTCTTACAGTGGATATTATTTTCTGAAAGAGAAACTTACCTCCAGGCTAAAACACAGAATCCAACCCGAGTTTCCATCCTACTAGCCTGCCTGATGTTGCCAAGCTGCTCTATAAGTTTCAAATGTGCCAGCCCTACAGTCACGTGAGCCAGTCTCCTAAAGTATAAGCCCCACCCCCACTTGGTTCACAATCCATTGATGGAATCCATTGACAGTTTAAAATTTTCCCCAATTGTATCTTTTAGCTAAATTCCTGGAGGTAGAACAACCAGGTCAACATTCACTTAAAGAACTGCGATGCTATTGTTCGTTGACTTACCTTCTAGAAAAGCTATTTGAAGGCATACCTGTGGCTGTCTCGGCTCCCGGACTCACAGCATGACATGGGTATTTATGGGCTCTTTCATCTCTACTGTTCACTCACTTTGTATTTGCAGTGCTTTTGATGAATGGTGAGTTTGGATGCTTTTTGTTTTGGGACAACATGCCTTCTTAAGACCTAGTGCCTTATGTAGACCTCTACAGAAATAACTTGCATTTGAAACATTAGCCTCTTTGTGTGGCTAATTTTCTTCCCATTTGAAAAGACTGCAGACGCTTAGGCTCCCACAAACTTCTCAATGGCTTGGATTTTGCCCACTTTTCTACTGAACGTTTATCTTTTTCTTTTCAATTTGTAATTCTTTTAAAAATTGTGTGTTGACTTAGTGTGTGTGTGTGTATGTGTGTGTGCTTGTGCTTGCATGCACATGTAGAGGTGTGTCAGAGAACGGTTTGTAGGAGTTGTTTCTTGCCTTCCACCATGTGAATTCCAAGCATGGTCCCTGGGCTTCTCAGCAAGCATCTTCATCCACTGAGCCTTCTCCTCCGCCCCTAATTTTTCTTTATGTAGCACCCTATCTTTCATCTCACATTTGAACTTCCCCTCATATTTTGACTAGTGCATAGGATGGGGTTTTGTTTCTTTTCAGGTAATGATTACACAAAACGATTGTAACCATGAGGTAGGGCCTACCAGTCTTCTCCTTATCAAGAGCTGAGGCAGTCATTCATTTTAGAAATGGTGACCAGACCTGTGAATTCCCTTCTTCTCACGTGAAAAGGACACAAACAACCTCAGAAGTAATAGGTAGACTTCTCAGTTTTGGATGGAACTTACTGTGTTAATAACGGTGTTAGCATTTGAGTCTCTTTCTGGATGCATGGGAAAGAAAGTCTTAACATGCTATTTGTCTTAAAACCTTGCCTGGTTTCAGTTGCTGGGGAAACCTATTATTCAGCTGCTAAAAGCTTAGAGATTTTGGAGAAAAGAGGGGTGTTTTCTTTTTTTCATGAATGCTTGGCTGAAGCAGCACTGTGAAAAATCATGAGTACAGCTTTCGCTTCAAGTGATAAGTATTGAAGAGGAGGTGAAAGGCTCAAAGATTTAGCATTTAAACTCCACATGTTGTTCCCAACTCTGTGTTGGTTTGATGAGAACTTATGAAAATGGTTTTTAAAGTTGCATAATTTATTTCTTGTCTTATTCCCTCCATCCAAAGCAGTATAGAGGAACCGGAATTGGAACTCAATGGTAGGGCATTTGCCTGGTACGTGCAAAAGCCCTGGCTTCCATCCTCAGCCAACAAAAATAAGGTCAAATAAAAAACAATGTAAAGTGAACACTGGCTTGTTAGTGTTGTTGACTTTGTGTTCTGGAAGGCTGACCATTAAAACAACACAGTACCCATCATTAAAGAATACAAAGCTATTCTTTGGCACAGGCTCCTTCACACCTAGAGTAGGCTGTCTGTCTGTATTACTCTCTGAGCTGTGATAAAATACCATGACCAAAAACAACTTATGGAAGAATTTATTTTGGCTTATGGTTCCAGAGGGATAAGTGTCCATCACATCAGGGAGCTGATAGCTCACTTCTTCAAACAGAAGCACACAGCACAGAGAAGAAATGCGAAGTATTAAGAGGTTTTGAATCTCAAAGCCCGCTTCCATCGATGTACTTCCTCCAGTGAGGTTGCACCACCAAATCTCTCCAAACACTTCTACGGAGAACCACGTGTTCAAAATGGAAGCCTGTGAGGGGAGTTTCTCATTCAAACCATATATGTATCTATATCTATCTAATATCTGATTGCTCTGGTTCATGGTGAACAAAACATGAGATTGAGCAAATATAAGGAAATTACATAATATGCTACCAGCCTAGCATACTGATTCACAGTAAGTAAACTTACTTTTTTCCCTAAAAATTTTACATTTATTTATTTTATTTTATGTGTATGGGCGTTTTGCCCACATGTATACGTGTGTGCCATGTGTGTGCCTGGTGTACACAGAGATCAGAAGAGTATGTTGGATCCCCTGGACCTGGAGTTACAGCCTGTTGTGAGTCACCATGTGGCTGCTGGGAATTGAACCTGGGTCCTCTGCAAGAGCAACTAGTGCTCTAAACCACTGAGCCATCTTGCTAGCCCCTACTTTTGCCCCAGTCTCCAGAGTGCCGGGATTATAGGCAAGTACTGCCATACCTGGCTAAAATGTCTTTCAATTATGTGTGTGTGTGTGTGCGCGCGCGCGCGCGCGCGCGTGCACGCGTGCACGCGTGCGTGCGTGTGTGTTGGGGATAGAACTCAGGGCTGTGAGAATGCTCAGCAAGAACTCTACCACTAAACTACATCTCTAGCCTCATCCCCCCCCCGCCCCCCAATAAGATGCAGTTTCGTTATTGGAATATTTTAACAATAGTGTTTTTATTTATTCCTTGAAAATTTCATATAATCATACAGTGTATTTTCAACATATACATCTACTACTACTTCCCCCAGCTCACTCTACTGCTCCCCACCCATCCCAATTATTGTGTATGAGTAAGAGTATACAGTAAATTTAAATTAAAAACAAAAAGTAAAATATAGTTGTGTTAGTTAGCATTCTATTACTGTGACAAAATACCAGATAGTCAACTTATAGGAGGAAATATTTATTCTTCTCATAGTTTTAGATGTTTCTCTCCATGGTCAGTTGGCCCACTGGACTCACAGTAGGCAGCATCTTACAGTGGGGTACACAGTAAGGCAGCATCTTGTGGCAGGGCACACAGTAAGGCAGCATCTTATGGCAGGGCACACAGTAAGGCAGCATCTTATGGTGGAGCACACAGTAAGGCAGCATCTTATGGCAGGGCACACAGTAGGCAGCATCTTATGGTGGGGCACACAGTAGGCAGCATCTTATGGCGGGGCACACAGTAGGCAGCATATTTTATTTTATTTTATTTTATTTTATTTTACAATACCATTCAGTTCTACATATCAGCCACGGGTTCCTCTATTCTCCCACCTCCCAC